TTCGATACATACGGAAGAGCGATAGATACGATTTGATCGAGAAAGTTTGATATTCACCGTCGTCGCCATTGAAGCACCTAACTGAGCTGCATCGGCTTAGTGATTAAAATCAACGGCGAAGTAAATGAGACGGCACGAAGTTCTCTTTGATAGAAAGCAAAACAGTATGGTGTTTCTACGTAGGAAACACAAAATGTAGATAAAAACGACACATAGTTTTCCTCTAAAAGTTTGAAACAGCACGAAGTGTAATCCAATAGACGTTAAACAAACAGAGTAGTGTACTTGCTTCTATTACAGAGAGGAAGCTTAAACCCTAATTTTCAGAGAGAAGGAGAAGATGTGGAAGAAAGGAGAGATAGTGTGGGTAAGCTTGGACCTTTCAGATACATGGATTCCGGGTCAAATTCAGGATCCATCGGAATCGTTTGGAGTTCTGATTTCGTTCTTCGGGTTAATGGAATCGCGTCACGTTCCGAAATCTTTTCTCCGAAGCTTCGATCGCTATTTCGGAGCTCTGATTTCAGATTCATGGAGATTCCGTCGGTTTGTGAACCGTGCTCTACGAGCCCAGTTTTGGAATATCTCGTCTGGGTTATGGTGTTCTTGCCAGCCGCAGATTGATTCGCCGTATTTCGACAGAGAAACCTCTCTCCCTTGGTTTCCTCTCGATTCGAATTCGGCTCTGGGTTTTGTTCGAGATACTGCGGTTTCGCTACGTATGCCTCTCCGGAGATTAGCTGAGACCAACAATTCGACCGCTCAAATCCTTAGCTTTCGACGTTACAGTGTCGATTTTAAGCTCTCTGAATCTGTCTATGAGGAAATTAGAGAAAGTAAGTGTTAAGTTCTGCTTTCTGGGTTCTCCATTGTTCTTTGTATGCTCAGTTTAATTAGGATTGAAAACACCCATTTGGTGTTCTTTATGTGCTCTAGAACTGCTCAAGTTAGATTATTGATACGGTTTCGTTTGATTTCGATTAGCTTTAGAGGATCAAAGAGAAGCCAAAATTGAGCGTTAATCTAAATGCCCTGTTCCCACTAGACCAGGGGAAAGTATTGATACATAGACATTGTTTGTATTCTCAAACTAATTCTGTAAATATGTGTTCAGGTGCAAAGATAATGGATCGCTCAGAAGAACCAGATTGGTGTCTTGATCCCTCAAACGAGATGGACTGTATCGATATGGTTTCTATGTTGCCTGAGAGAGCGGAACCAGACGTGGGAATCAGTGGAGATTTGAGTCTAAGAGATCTATTGCCGAAGGAT